CTGTTTCCCTGAATGTTGAAATTAATTGATGAAAGGGGAAGTAACTTTTTGGGGTGATTTTTCAAGTAAGTGATAACATAACAGGCTTTTTATGGTCATAGAAAAGAAACATACTAGATTATTTCATTGTCTTTTGCTGATTACATTTCTGCAAGATACCTCTCAAACTATGGGTCCCTTCCTGAAGCTGCTACTCAGACAGAAATCCCCACTGAAGTGAAAAATGAAAAAACCCAGGAGCCACATACCCTAGAAGGATTTTGTGAGAACTGGCCATAAACAATCACAGGATTTGTTGAGTAGACTGTAGTCAGTTCGGTGTTAATGGATTCTTTGTTATAATGCTGTGGTATCTTGCAGTCATTCAAACTCTAAACAAGTGCCATTCACCTGGAAAAATTCCAGGCATTCATTTCTTCTTGGGTGAAACTCTAGAAGGTTGTGCTTCTCCATCACAGCCACTCTCAGAGCCTCAGAGTGGGCTCTCAGCAGCCAGGCAGGCCTCTGAAGTTCTCACTTCCCTTCCTGTTGAAGTTGTCTGTTACCAGAACGGATGGAGATGTGCTTCCTCTCCACACCATGCATTTCAACAAAGTGTAAAAAGCCTTTTTTGGTGCTACAACTATAATGGCATGACTTACAGGTACTGCTAAAGTTTTTGAGTATAGAATTTTGCAGCTTACAAACCCTAGAAAATGTTATTTCATCAAATATATATGAGTCCATTTCATTTTCATAGTGGAGTTCCTATAAATTAATAATCTTTATAATCTTTAGGAAGGCATTGCCTCTCTGCATGCCCCATAAAGAGATTGTTTTTCCAGGAAATAGTAAATAGAGTGTTAGAGAGTGTTTTTTTCCTTCTTTCAGACCCCATGCCATGATGTGCCAGATAATGGGCTTGGGGCAGTTTCGTCTTCTTTCACCCGTTGGTCATATTGCAGTGGGTTTTCCTAGGTTTGCCTGCATACAAACAAGATTTTTCTGGATTAATAGTTTTTAGCCAGACCTTCTTCACATGAAGCTTTTGCTTCCCATCTGCCATTCCATCTGTAACACTCAAACTTTTACTACTTCTCTTCTGATAATAAGAGCTAATCCAGCCTTTTAAGTCAGAAAACCATATTCAGTGTGTGGGGTTAATACTATGTGATGAAGTCTAAATCTGTCTGGGGAGCAGTCTGGTATGTTCACAGGCTACATTACAATTGCTGGGAGCCTGTCATCCTTCAGAAAGAATATCCAGAAGCAGATGCCAAAAATCATACTATATAAAGGCAGGGGGGTAAATTAGAACAATTCCTTTTGGCAGGGAAACAATTAAAAATGTGGAAAATAAAATGTTAAAGCCAGGGAAGTTCAGATACTCCTATTATTCTTCCTCATGACTTAATACTTAGTTTTGTGTTGTGGAGTTTGTAGGTCCAGCATCTAGCACAGAGGAGGTCCTAATCCATGTGCTATCAATGTGCTGTTTATTGGCCTAAGTGCAATGATGTGGTGCATTATCCAACCTTGACTCCATTCAGCTCTATTTCAATATTATCAGCAGGAAGACAAGGTATGAAAGGGCTAAAGACAAACTTTACAAGCAGCTGTGAGGTAAGAGGTTGTGTGACTGCCCCTCCTTTTGCTCTGGGGTTGTGAATGAAAAAGGACACAATAAACCATCTCTCGCAGTCATTATACTGATGAAGGAATGGAAGAAACCAGTATCTACCTTCCTTTTCCTTAACTTTTTTTCAATTTTAGTGGCATCTTGTTTTGAGAGCCTCTTTCAAAATTCTGTGGTAAAGCTATTGATGTCCTTAACCTCTTACTTTACATGGTTATCTGTCTTCATTATTTATTGTCTCTGACAAACAGCATCAGGTACTCAACCTTATGTTCAGGGACTGAAATTTCACTCCCAACAAGGTGAACTACGGTAGAGCATCTATTGTTGCTGAATGTTTAATGTGCATTGCAGGAGTCCTTGGATAATGTGGCAGGTGAAGTGTTGCACCACTTAATTTAAGAAGTTTAATGAGATCATTTAACAGTGAATGTCATGTCAGTGCTTACCTGGCCACAAAGCTTGTAGACAGAATAAGCATAATGAAACATTTGAACTATTTATAATTTACAGTAAATCACTGAGCCTCAATCACCAAAGGGATCACCAAATCTAATTGCCAGCCGACGCTTGGTCTTCAATAAAGGTCAAGCAAAATTATTAGCAGAAGCTTGGGGAGTGCTTCAGAATTGTAAGAAAATAGAGTGGCTTATTGGTGGAGCCAGGAAAGCAGATATGACTGCATTTTCAGTTATGAGCAATTAGGTGTAACAAAGGAACTTAAAAGAAACCCAGTGAACTACTTGTTCATAGTGACAGGTCTGTAGTTCCCTGGATTGTCCTTTTTGGCTTTCTTGTGGATGGGTGCCACATTTGCTACCCTTCAGTCCACTGAGACCTCCCCAGTTAGCCAGGACTGCTGGTAAATGACAAGAAGAGGCTTGGTGAGTGCATCCGCCAACTCCTTCAGTACTCTTGGGTGCAGCCCATCTGGTCCCATAGGTTTATGGATGTTTAGGTGATGTAGCAGGTCACTGACCATTTCCCCTTGGATTACAAAGGTCTCATTCTGCCCCACCTCCCCCTTTTCCAGCCCAGGGCCAAGTCCTGCACTTAGACCATACCAGAGCTGCTGCCTTAGGATATTAAGAAAACTGAAGACAAATTGGCTGTGAAGAAAATGATTTAAAATTCTCCTTCTTTGTGAGCAGCCAGATGAAATATGGGTTAACACGAAACCAAAGGATGACTTCTGAATGAGGTCCCTGGGCAGTGAAGTGTTTGCCAAGAGAGTGAAAAGATGTGAGTGGAGGGATTAAGTCTTCAGGTTTTCATTCTGGTGGCAGGTTACCAACAGGTTTTAGAAAAGTTCAACCTTTGGTAAAACTGTTTCAGCACTTCCAAGTTATTTTTCAGGTGCCAGAACTATGTGGGATAGCAGTAGTTTCCTCATTTCAGCCACTGGCCTAGATTCGTGCCCTGCAAAACATGGGTGACTACCACTCTATGTAAGCTACATCAAGGATGATTTTTGCTCTGTCAAATTTATTATGGCCTGCCCAGATTTCTTCTGGGAAGTTGACCAAATGACAGAACCTTTGAAACAGGTGACTGGGAGAAAAAAGTGAGAGGATACCGTTTGCATGGATTGAGTAAACCAAACTCAAGCTGCCCATCTGCTTTTGCAAAACTTCTCAGCTTTTGCAATGTGCAGGCTTGAAATGCAATATTGGAAATGCAGGAAAATCTCTTCTTAGAACTGAAACAAAGATCTTAGCTTTCACATGCAGTACTCTGGCTTTTGTCTGAGACCCAGTTGTGGTTGATGATCACTTGATGGTTATGAACTTAGAAATCCCAAAGCCAGTTGTGCAATGTTGAAAAGAATCACCAAAACCATTGGCTCATAAGCAGTTCTACTCTGTTCTTCTCTTTCATTCTCTCTGTGACTTCTCATCAGTTTGACTTAATTTAACAGTTCTGTGTCTCACTGAGGTTCAGGCTTCAGAGCTGTCTCCTAGAGATATTTTCTTCCTGGCAGTACATAAGCTGGTGCTGAACATGAAAGCTTATATAAAAGATACTGACTTTCCACAGCTGAATTTGACCTTAGACCTCATACAAAGCCATCTGCTGCAGTGTTGCTCTGAAATGACAGGCCTTGTCACTGGAATAATGTACAGGGCACTAGGCAAATACTACAGCATTCTTTAAAGTGTCCTGTCGAATGTTATGCTGAACTGAAGCACTGGCAAATGGTATTTATACATCTAGATGGGAGCACAGCACAGGTAGATTTTGCAGTTCAACATTTGTGAAGATTCCAGTGCCTGAGGTTTTTATCTGTGTTGTTGCTGATATTGTATGCAGTTTTGTTTGCTCAGAATATCTTTATCTGGCAAGCCAGATGTCAATCCACTCTTAATGCTTCATAGAGAATCTTTCTGTCCAAAAAGGAACTTTATCAGTGCTTTTCTTGAATCTGCATTCTC